CCAGCTACTTGGGAGGCTGAGGCAGGAGACTTGCTTGAGCCCAGAAGTTGGAAGTTGCTGTGAGCTGTGAAGCCACGGCCCTCTACCCAGGGGGATAGCTTGAGGCTCTGTCTCAAAAAAAAAAAAAAAATAGAAAAGTCTTATAGATGTCTCCTGGTACACATAATGCAAGTGGTTTTGTTTTGTTTTGTTTTTTTGAGACAAAGTCTCACTATGTTGTCCTGGGTAGAGTGCCATGGCATCACAGCGCATAGCAACCTCAAACACTTGAACTTAATGATTCTCTTGTCTCAGCCTCCCAAATAGCTGGGACTACAGGCGCCTATCACAACGCCCGGCTATTTTTTTATCATTGTAGCTGTTATTGTTGTTTGGCAGGCCCAGGCCAGGTTCGAACCCGCCAACCCGGTGTATGCCACATTTGTTTTTCTTGATTATTTTCTTCTGTTGAATAACTTTACGAAAGAACCTCTAAATTTTACAAAAGATGATAAAGGAGCTTTATTTCACTTTGAGAAATGTCATTTCCTTGTTAACTCATATCATAATGTATCTACTTACACTAATGGAAAAGTGCCTTATAAAATGTTAGTTAACTGTTAAACATTTCATCCACTGTTTCATTCATTCATTTAGTTTAGACATGGATTGATGATCGTATGTTAGGTTCCAGTACTAGCAGGAGGATATAATAATAAAGGTGATAGACACATAAACCAACAAATGACAGTAATTGAGAAAACTTACTATAGTAGGCATCAAGTTAAGCAGTCTCATTGCATTATCTCCATAGTAGTCTACTAAGGCTGCTGTAACAAAATACTACAAACTAAGTGGCTTAATCAACGTATATATTTATTGTCTCACATACTGAAGGCTAGAAGTCCAATATTAATTTGTGCACAGGGGTTGGTTCCTTCTGAGGGTGGTGAGGCAGAATCTGTACCATGCTCCTTTCCTACCTTCTAGTGGTGCCTGTGACCTTTAGCTTTACTTGGTATAGAATTACTGTTCTCATCTGTGCCTTCATCTTACCAGTGTTCTCTGTGTGTGTGTCTGTCTCTAAATTTCCCCTTTTTGTAAGTACACCAGTCATATTGGAGGTGGGATCTTGTCTAGTGACATCATTTTACCTTGGCCAAAGATCCTGTCCCGAAATAAAGTCATTTCTGAGGCACTGGGGATGTATAGCATATAAATTTATGAGGACACAGTTCAACACATAACCATCTCTTTTAGTCATTACAGCAATCCTGTGATGATTCATCATGTCTTAGACTATATTGCAATGTAAAAATCCTTACCTATCAAAAAGTAGCTTCTGCCCAGTTCAGAACAGATGGCATAGACTCATTTTTCCCTGCTCCTTCCTTCTAAATAGGTAGGTCACTAAGAAAGTTTTGAGACAGACTGTATTATGGTTCATTATTTCACTTTCAAGAAACACAGTTTACAGTATCCTTTATGCAAGTTTTACCTTGTTCAGCTTAACAGGTGTTGCTGGGAGGGCCTGATTTGGTTCTGTCCATACAGATTTTATGTTTCTTGATTTTTGTGTATCTCAAAATTTTCGTAACAACTAAATACCCAGGAACTATTTAGCATAAAATTACAATAGGATTCTAAATGCTGGGAAGAAGGTTAACTGGCTAGAGACCTCAAGACTTGAGAAATGGGCGGCACCTGTGGCTCAAAGGAGTAGAGTGCCAGTCCCATATGCTGGAGGTGGCGGGTTCAAACCCAGCCCTGGCCAAAAACTGCAAAAAAAAAAAAGACTTGAGAAATAATAGTGTGGGCCCCTGTGTTTTCTTTTTGCTACCCACATATCCTGGACAAGGTATTAGTAAGGCCTATAGCGCAGATCTTCTGTGGACTTAAACAAAAACGAAACCAGAAAAGCTTGCTCCCACTCATTGAAGCCTTGGAAAAGAGGAACCCCAACAGAGATAGGAAACCCCAACACCACCTTTGCAGCAGGGATGTAATGAGTGAATAATTGTATTTGGAGTTTAATTGCTTCTTTCCTTCTATTCTCATTGAACATATTTGTCCAACTGATAGAAATGCTAGGGTTCATTATCATACTTTGCCAGCTAGAAATGGTCAGTATTTGCCAAAAGAAAGAAAGCAGTGCCTGGATATTCCTGGGTAAGATGATATAGCCTTAGTCGTTCTTGAAACTTAGTACATTAAATGATAAACAGGGAATCCTGCAAAACCTGGCAGCTATGTATGGAGGCAGGTCCAGCTCTTCAAGAGGAGGGAGGCCAAGAAACAAAGAGGAAGAGGTATGCTTCCTGCATGCTCGCTGCCTCGTCACTGCCATTTTTAAGTTGATTGCCTTCTTTGCTTGCATGGTCTAAATTCTTAACAATCATTTGAAGATTTTGTAGGTCTATAGGGACCTGTTAATATACTTTCACTGACATACTGTGTCATAATTTTGTCTCAAAGCTGTTATTCAGTATTCTGAGTTCGATTTTTTCTTTTGATAAAATTAAATATTTGTTAATTATAATGTATGTCTTTCTTTTCCGAAATAAGTAGATCTAAATTAAATACTTGACAGCTAATTACATTTCCATTAACCAGATTTTAAAACTTTTCTTATATTTAGATTAACACTTTTCTTTAAATTAAAAAATGTTCAGCAGTAAAATTGTTGATTTCTCTTTTCAGTCATTATATTGAGTTTTTTTCCCTCTTTGTAGGTTTATCTGGCAAGACTGAGGCAAATAAGACTACAGAATTTCAATGAGCGCCAGCAAATTAAAGCTAAACTTCGTGGTGAAAATGTGAGTTAAACATTAATTTTGTTAAAAGCTTTTGAGTAATATCATAAGGATTGAGATTTTAAATGCTAGGACACTAACAAAAAAATAAAAACTGATGAAGATGTTGAAAATTCAAAGATACAAAAGCTACACATAGGGATAACATGAATATTTATGGAATTTAAAATTGATAAGCCCATTTGTTCCACAGGAATTTTTTTTTTTTCATTGAGACAGAGTCTCACTTTATCACCCTTGGTAGAGTGCTGTGGTATCATGGTTCATAGCAATCTCAAACACTTGGGCTCAATTGATTCTCTTGCTTCAGCCAGGTTCAAACCCACCAGCCCCAGATCATCACTGAGCTATGGGCACCCAGCTAGTTCCAGAGGAATTGTAAGAGGAAAATATAATGTGTATCTGTGGAAGGATTCCAGTGCACTTTCTGTCATTACCATTGTGTCTTTCAGTTCTGTTGTCCATAATAGGTGATGGGTCTGAAGAGTTCAGGTGCAGCTTTGGGAGAAAATTAACAGCAATAAGTGATTTCCCTTTTACATTTTTAAATTTTTATTGTTTTTTACACAATCTTTATATTTCACAATGCTCTGTACTGAATTTGATGGTTTTATCCTAAGTGATTGCTTATTTACTTACTTTGTAGAAAGGAGCTGATAGTTCCGAAGGAGAAGGAAGTGAAGAGGCTGATGTGAGGCGAAAAAAAATCGAATCAGTCAAGGTATAGACTAGAAATGACACTGGCTCTCTCAGAGAGAATTTACACCTGCGGTAGAAAATTCTTTTCTTTCAGTTTACATAAGTAAATGACTTTATTCTTTTGGTTTAATTTTTCTTTCCCCTTTATCTCTCACTTTTTGGTTTCTGAAAAATAGCATTTTTGTCTGTTTATATCATATTAGTGAAGAATAATTTGATGAAACCTTGGCATAAATAGATGAAACTATCTTAAAAATAAAATATAGCAACCTTGGGCGGCATCTGTGGCTCAGTGGGAAGGGCTCTGGTCCCATATACTGAGAGTGGCAGGTTCAAACCTGGCCCCGGCCAAACTGCAACAAAAAATAGCCAGGCGTTGTGGTGGGCACCTGTGGTCCCAGCTACTTGGGAGGCTGAGGCAAGAGAATCACCTAAGCCCAGGAGTTGGAGGTTGCTGTGAGCTGTGTGATGCCACAGCACTCTACCAAGGGCGACAAAGTGAAACTCTGTCTCTACAAAAAAAATACAACAACCTTAAAAGTTAAAGGTACAGTTAGTCATCTCTATAAATGTAAATGAAGTCCATGTATAATAGTTTTAATTTTTTGTATTTTTTTCATTCAGCAAGTATTTATTGAGTTCCTGCTGTGTATTGGGTCGGATTTTACATGCTAAGGATACAGAGTGAGCTTATATTTTTATTCTGGAATGACACACACACTTTTTTTTGGCTACTAAGTAAATATTCTTATAGGCCTGGAAAGAAAAAAAAGCCACATGCCCTTCTTTCTGGTAACCAATTTTGTTGATTATTCTTATTTTCAGGCCCGAGCAAATGCACGTGCTGCTGTCCTAAAAGAACAGCTAGAGCGAAAGAGAAAAGAAGCCTATGAGAGAGAGAAGAGAGTGTGGGAAGAGCATGTAAGGTTCTTCCCAGGTTCTTGATCTTGGGTGTCCTAATGTTCTTCTTACGCTTCCTTTGTGGTACATCAGCATTATAATCTGTGGGGTTTCTCTCTCCTTTTTTCTTTTTGTGAGACAAAGTCTCACTATGTCACCCTAGAGTGCTGTGGTGTCACAGCTCACAGCAATCTCCAACTCTTGGACTTAAACAATTCTCTTGCCTCAGCCTCCCAAGTACCTGGGACTGTAGGTGCCTGCCCCAATGCTCACTATTTCTAGAGACGGTGTCTCACGCTGGTCTCAAATGCCTGAGCTCAGGCAGTCCACCCTCCTGGGCCTCCCAGAGTGCTAGGATTACAGGCATGAGCCACCACGGTACCTGGCCTTTTTTCTCTATTTTTTAATTATTGTTTTCCCTGCCCCCTTACCCCCTTGCCCTCTTGCCCTCTCGCCCTCTCTTTTTACCTCCCTCTTCTCTTTTGTGTGCTATTTCTTTTTAAAATTATTTATTTACTTATTGCCAAGTAGCTAATCAAAACCCACCATCACTTAATGAAGTGCTAATGTGTGTGCCATGTGTGAGGAAGAAGAAAATGCCTGTGTGTAAACTGAATAAACAGTGATCTTTTAGCTACCATTTCATTTCTTCATGCAAATATAAAGTCCCCAAAGTGTTTAATTTTTTTTACAGTTGGTGGCTAAAAGTTCTGATGTTTCTTCACCTTTGGGCCAGCATGAAGCAGGTGGCTCTCCGTCAAAGCAAATGAAACCTGTTATTTCTGTGACTTCAGCTTTAAAGGAAGTGGGTGTGGTAAGTTTCCTAACATTTAGAACTCTTCTAAGTCAAAAGATTATTTGGAAGGAAATTGCATTAATTCCTAATATCTCTTTAGGTTTTTCTAGGGAAAAAATTACTTTTTAAGAGTTTTTGGTTTTACTCTGAATATTGGAGCATCTTTCCCAGAAGTTTTATACCTAGGACACCTGGTTAGATGAAAGTATATTAAAATCACTCTTTTTTTAGTTTTAAAGAATGAACAAATGTTATATACACAAATATAATACAAATATTAAATATTATATACACAAATATACAAATATTAAATGACTGTACAAATAATATATACACAAATATATATACACTAAAAATAATGCAACAAACATTTTTATATGTAACCCTCATGATTAACAAATGTTGACTTTTACAAAAAAATAATGTCTCTTTGGTACTCTAGTAATTAAGGCCAACACATGTACATTTATTTGAAGTTTTTTAACATAGCAATTGCTGGAAGATTCAGTGTAATTATAGTTAAATCATTAATTATTTCTTTTACTTTCTATGAATGCTTCTGAATCTCTATCATGCCATCCATAAAAATAGTAAAACAAACAAATAGGAACAAATAAAATGTGTAAATTTTCGAAGTATATTTCAAGTGTCTATCTGAAGTGTGCTGTGAGGTTAAGAGAAATGGGCTTCTAATGTGGAGTTTTTGCCTAGAATTCAATAGACAGAATGAAAAAATGTCTGCTAAATCAGATAACACATTAACCTTACTTTTTCCTTTCCTGGTAATCAGCGTCTGAGCTGTTTATTTGTTGAGTTTCATCAAGTTTTTGCAGACAAAATTGGTACACTAATTTTTTTTTTTTTTACAACCTTTGTGTTTATCTTGAAAATAAGACTCTAGTGGCTTGGCACCCATAGCTCAGTAGGTGCCAAGCTCAGTGGTTAGGGTGCCAGCCACATGCTCTAGGCCTAGTGGGTTTGAACCTGGCCCTGGCCTGCTAAATGAAAAATAGCTGGGTGTTGTAGGGGACGCCTGTAGTCCCAGTTACATGGGAGGCTGAGGCAAGAGAATTGCTTGGGCCCAAGAGTTTGAGGTTGCTGTGAGCTATGACACCATGGCACCCTACCAAGGACAACATAGTGAGACTCTGTCTCAAAAAAAATAAATAAGACAAAAAAAAAAAAAAAAAAAAAAGACTGAGTAGAAAAGTAGGAGTTTCTTGATCACACTCAAGAAATTCATGTAAGAAACTGTGTTTTTCATGTAGATTTATTCTCTTTCTCTATGTGATAACAACTTTGCATGTGCTACATTGTTACTTCAACTTTAGATGCCACTGTATGGTTCCCTTCCTGGTCCCCAGTCTCACATCTCAAGTAGCCATTCATCTCTGGTTATAGTGACTGCTAATTTCCTGACTACTTTACTGGGTAAAATGTTCTTTGTCTCCTTTACATGTATTACTTTAAAACTGACTACTAAACTCCTTTTTTATTTTTTTCAAATATTTAAAATTTGAGGTAGTCATATAACTAAATGGTTTTTCTTTTTGTGTTATGTTGGTAAATGTCACTTGAAACTTTGAAAATTTCTGAAATCTTCTAAATACTTTTACTTTCATAGTTTTTATAACTGCTGATTTTTTCTTTTCATATATTTTAAAATTCCAGGTAATCTAGATTGCTTTGACAATACTAATCCGAAGACTGGATTTATAATACATGTAGTACAAATGACTCAGAACTGAATGCCCTCTTTGTTCAGGGAGGAAAGTCAGTTCTCAATTATGTTTACTAGTATGATTTAACAAGAATGTATATACATGGGCTTGGTGTCCAGAGCACAGTGGTTACAGTGCCAGCCACATACACCGAGGGTGGCAGGTTTGAACCCGACCCGAGACAGCTAAAAAACTACTGCAACAACAACAACAAAAAAAAATAGCCAGGCGTCGTGGTGGGCACCTGTAGTCCCAGCTACTTGGGAGGCTGAGGGAAGAGAATTGCTTGAGCCTAAGAGTTGGAGGTTGCTGTGAGCTGTGATGCCATGGTACTCTCCCAAGGGTGTCAAAGTGAGACTCTCTCAAAAAATATATATATAAATAAAAAATAAATATGACAAATGATTGAGACCTAGCCCTTCCATACATTAAGTCTTTTCATAATATTTTAATGTTTATCATTGCTTATAATGAGGGAAGCTGTGTTAACATTTTCCAGGAATAAAAAATTCACAAGTAGCAATTTAATGAAAAGCAAAACTTAATTAAAATAATTGGAGTTTTTCAGATAGACTCTTAAAATAATATTATGTCTTACTCTGTAACTATCTGTGTTTAAAGGACAGTAGTTTAACTGACACCCAGGAAAGTTCAGAAGAAATGCAAAAGACCAATAATGCTATTTCAGTAAGTACAACTTTCAGAATTTCTCTGTCCATCATTCTGCTTAATTATGTACATATTAAGATGTAACATCATACCTGTTTCAGAGTAAGCGAGACATACTACGTAGATTAAATGAAAATCTCAAAGCTCACGAAGATGAAAGAGGAAAGCAGCGTCACTCTGACACTCATGAGATCATTGCTCATGAAGATGCTGACGAGCATGGAAAGGGAGAGTTCGTTTCATCTGATCGCAAGAGGTGGGATGCAGGAGGTCAACTTGTGATCCCTCCGGATCACCTAACACTGGATATGTCCTTCTCTGCATCCAGAAGTATGTACAGAAATGTAAACATCCTGTTTAAGTCCTGCACACGTGTAGACTTGTGGATTGGCCACTCTGAAAGAATGAGCACTTACAGAGGTTGAGGGAGCCTGAAAGAATTGTATATATTTTCCTTTCGGGAATGTAGGAATGCCTCCCCACCACCACCACCACTACCAGCGAAATGTAAAGAATGGAGAGAACTATTCAGCCTTGGCAAGGATTTTTATTATTAAAATGTATAGTGTACAAGAAGGAACTAATGATACATATTTAAATTGTGTTTCTTTAACTTTCTATACCATCTTAATCTGTATTAGGAATAATTCTTGATGAGAACCAGAGTAGTGAACTTTGATAAAATCTCAGAAACGTCCCTTGGGGCTCGGTGCCTGTGGCTCAAGTGGCTAAGGTGCCAGCCACATACACCTAAGGTGGTGGGTTCGAATCCAGCCCAGGCCCACCAAACAACAATGACGGCTGCAACCAAAAAATAGCTGGGCGTTGTGGTGGGCGCCTGTGGTCCCAGCTGCTTGGGAGGCAG